AGTATATCAACAAAGTAAAGATAGTATTAAGTACCTCAATCCTTTTTTATATATCACCAAAGAAGATTCCAACCCTGCAACAGTTTTTCTGTTTGATTCTCGTCGACCACAAAATTTCTTAAGCAAATATTCAACTTGGGGTATATCCTTCATGAAATAACTATCAGCTCCTTCGTCTTAAGGTATCTCTTTATTATCTTACAGCTACTGTCTATTGATGCTCAAACAACAGGATATCTGTCATTAGTGAGTGCGTCGGCTATAAGCAGCTTAGTATTTAATAACCTCTAAAAATAACATTCACTAGAGGAATAAATTATTGATAGCTCACTGCTCAACATCTCATATATTGCGAGATATTTGATAAGAACTCGATGCACGTGAAAGCAGAAAGTTGGGTAAAACTTGGAATTGGAAAAAGAACCAGTGCAAAAGTATCAAATTCCTTCTATAAATTCATCAAATAATGCATTTTAGGTATGGGTGCTATGGCTACTATCACGGACTTGTTGGTGATCGGGGAGATGTACTACTTTGTGTGAACACGATTTCATTGACCGCTTATTACTTAGGAATGCTGGGTCCCCATATGATGACAGTGCTGAAAGCGAGAGTGTCTGCTGGTGTCATTTATCAAACGATTGATCGAGTTGGTGTTATTCGATATTTCTGAAAATTATAATCTGCTGATTTAGATCCCGAACAACAGTATGAAATCAAGGAATTATTCAAAGGAAAAGCTTGGTGCAGGTAATGTTGCCTTTGAGAAAGTTTGCTTCTCGTATCCTACAAGGAATGGACCTGTTTTGAATGTAAGTATAAATTCTCGTATGCCACAAAAAAGATAATAGCAATAAAAAATTCAGGAATTTTCGTGGGAAGCTCGTGCTGGAGAGTCGGTAGCTCTAGTTGGGCCTAGTGGATGTGGAAAAAGTACATCGGTCAGTTTCGGAAACAGTAAGCTTCTTTATAGAACAGATTTTCGCTTTCCAAACTTTTCTTACAGATTGCTCTGCTTACGCGTCTGTATGAGGCTAATGAGGGTAAAATCACTATCGATGATGTAGACATTCGTGAAATTGAGGTGTCAGCCTTGAGAAAGGTACGTGTAATTATTTCCTGTTCTTTGAGGAGCATTACATGAGAATGCTGTTGTAGCTGAAAATTGGGTCGTCGGCGTGAAATACATTTGCTGTCTTCACTAACTATCTCTTTACATTCTCAATTATCTTTCAAAGTTCCCATGTAAGTCAGTTGACTACCAAATAAAACGATAATTATCAATTTGAAAACAAACTGGAATATAAAATAAATTTTTGGAAATCGAATGAAAGAAGTGCCAATAGTCTGCTGCTCATTTATCATCTTTTCAGAGTATAGGAATTGTGCAGCAAG